CTCAACAAATAATTTGAAATGATGATCCGTTGCTGGGAATGATAGATAAAAGAACTAGCTACTTACTGACAAATTTACAGACTAAAGCTTTCGTTTAGGTTGACTGTTTCGCCTTTACGCTGAGACTGCTCGTAACTGCCTGTACAACACCACAGTTTAATTATCGCCACGAAGAAACGTCAATAACTTTCTAATTGTACATTTGTTTCACAATCGGAAAGATGATCTAAAAATCTGACATCGAGATCTTTCCAATGATATCTCGTTCGTTTCCTAGTTCATTCTGGATCAACAGAAAAATACTGATGAAGATGACTGCTGGTAGATCCGATCTGTAGAAATCAGTCCCGAAGAAATAATCATAAATCTTAGATAAAAATTCCAAATGACGATCCGTTTTCTGATATACGTAGATCTTAGAAGGTAGAACATAATCTAAAAATTTGACTTCGAAATTCTTGGTTTTGATCAATCGTTACTCTGTTCTCTCAAAACGTGTCTGCTGAACATTAATCTCTCTTTAAATAGGAAGAGTTTAGGGTTTCTGCCACACTACTGGACCTAGCCGGGCCGAAATAACTGTACTGGGTTTTGGGTCGTTACAAGATGGTTCACCTAATCAGAGCTTGCAGTAGACATAAACCTTAGAAACGAAAGGTCACAAAATCACATAAACAAACCCAATGAAAATAATCTCAGTACAGCGCCGTGTTGCAGTAACAGACCTGATGCTGTTCGGGTCGAGTTGAATAGATTTAAGCCCAATATTCTCCATAAAGCCCATCCGCGTTTGTTGTCTGATTATCTGACGTGGCACATGTGAGAGATCACAATTTTTTATAGTAATAGAATTCTTAAAAATATACACAACTGAAAAATATTAGGAGAAAATGACTAGAATAGACATAAAAAAGTTTTTATCACAAATATAGAATTTAAAATTAAATGACCAAAATAACACTTAAATGTTTTATTAAATATACATTTATACCCTTGGGTTAACTAATCTTAGATTTTTTTTTTTGTTTAGAGTTGTGGAGTGGGGTTTTGGGGATAGGGTTTCGAATTTAAAAAAATTAAGAAAACTTAAAATTTTCAAAATAAAAAGTGCTATTTTGGTCATTTTAATTTTGGAGGTCTATTTTTGTGATAAAAACTTAAAAGAGGGCTATTTTAGAGAATTGCCTTAAAATTAGATATATTATGACATAGATACAGTTAGATGTAGGGGTGGGTGTTCGGGTACTTATTCGGGTTCGGTTCGGATCTATTCGGGTTTCGAATTTTCGGATTCACAAATTTTAGCCTCATTCGGATATTTCTAAATTTCGGTTCAGGTTCGGTTCGGATCTTTGTGGGTCCGGATAACCCATTTAAATTATTTTTAAAATTTTAAAATTGATTATATACTTTAATTTTCTAAAAATCTATAAAAAACAAGATATTACAAAGAATTGAATAAAATAAGTCAAAATACCTAAAATTAACATATAAATTAATTTGATTTGAATATTTGGTTTGTGAATAAATTTTAGGCATATATATTTGACTATTTACATATATTTACAAGTATTTTGAACAACTTAAAAGTATTTTATATATAATGATTTTTTTTATATACATTAAATCTAAAAATAATTAATATATATAGGTATATAAATCTCTTCAAGATATATTCAGGTACCCGAAATACTTCGGTTCGGGTCGGGTTCGGTTTCGGTTCGGGTCGGGTTCGGTTTCGGTTATTTAAATACCAAAATTTCGAACCCATTCAGATATTAAATCAATTTTGGTTCGAGTTCGATATTACTTTTTAGGATTGGGTTCGGTTCGGTTCTTCGGATCTGGGTTTTTTGTCCAGCTCTAGTTAGATGCATGTATATATTATATATATGGTATATCTTACTTTTTGAATACATACTTTTATAGCAACTTAATAAATATGCATTTAAAGTCTCATACATTCAGATATCCTACCACCATTTATATATATATATTTCCTAAACGTATACATTTAGTATTAAAAACCCGCACGATTGTACGGTTCAAGATCTAGTATACATTTAAGGTCTCATACATTCAAATATCATACCATCATATATTCTAGGGAAATTTGCCAAAAGAGAACAAAAAAACATAACTATTGTCCCCTTAGAATAAATTTCATGATTCATGTTCCCTTAGAATAAACTATAATGAAAATCCAATTTAGTCCTTAGTATTTAATGCAACTTTTATATTTTCTTATTAATCACAAAGCCGATATATATTTATAGTATGAGAGCATTAACAATGAATGACAATGAATCTGCTGGTAAACTACCTCTATTTTTTCCCTCTTAACCTGGGTTCGAGCCTCCGGGTATGCAAGTATTTTTTTTTTTTTAATTTGAAGCTCTGGATATTGATTATTTGAATCTTTGTACTTTGTTAGAAAGAAATACTATTTTATAATTTTGCAGATTTTAAAGTTAATAAAATAATAAAATGTAAATGTTATATAGTAATCATCTTTTAAAAGAACAAAAATCATCTTACAAAAATCTTGGTAAATCCATACCCTAAACAATAGTGAAACCCTAAACCCTTCCTGAGTAAAGAAAGAAGATAAAGCATACCCTAAACTCCTATCTCTTATTTGAATCTTTTTACTTTGTTAGAAAGAAATACTATTTTATAATTTTGCAGATTTTAAAGTTAATACAATAATAAATGTGAATGTTATATAGTATATTTTAAAAGAACAAAAATCATGTTACAAAAATCTTGGTAAATCCATACCCTAAACAATAATGAAACCCTAAACCAATAATGAAACCCTAAACAATAAGAACAAAAATCATGTTACGTATATCATCTACCCTAATTTGGCTACTTTTCCTCATCGTCTTTCTTTCTTCTTTTCGAAAAATATGGCGAACATGAACAACATTGAAGGAATCCCTCGCAGATGCTGGTGTGGGAGGGGGATTGTCACTTACGTTTCAAAAACATATGAGAATCCATACCGACGGTTCTTCAGATGTGAGATTGCTTTACAGGTAAATGTCATATATAAATACTTATCAATTCTTCTGTGTTGAGACTTAATTTGTTTTCTGTTCCAAATCAGAGAAAAAAAGAGCAACATCTTTTTAAGAGGGTGGATGAGGCTCTGTATGAAGAGATTCAAAAGATGGATGACCATCAAGCGTTCATGGCATAAGAAATTGAAGATCTGCGTGTTTCATTGAAGATGGTGGAAGAAGAAGTTATGAAGCATAAAGCCTCTCGAGATGTTGGTTGTGTATGATCTATTCTCAGTATTTTATGTCTATGTTCCAAATTTGATTGATATTTTGTAATGTTTTTCTATTTCTATCTACATTGAATAAGAACAAGTAACGGATTTCTAGTGTTATTGACATGTTTCAAAGACATCTAAATTCAATATAAATCAAAAACACTGCTAAAATCAACATGAAACGGATCATGAATATGAAAGATAACTTGCAGAAAAACAAAAAATAGAGGTTTATGCATAAAAAGATGTTAGAAAGTTTTTGAGTTAGGCGACTCAGTAGGCGACTCAGTAGTCCCTTCTTCATTCAAGTCAAATTCGACGTTGATATTCCTTGTATCCACCTTAGATCGAACACACACACATAACCGCGTAGAAGCTCTGATCTTCAGATATGTTAGAAAGTTTTTTGAGTTGCCTATCATTGGTGATGAAAACAGGTGGCGAGTTGATGCTATTCATCAAATCTGAAGGTAAGTAACTCAACTCGATATTGACCATGTCTAGATCAATTCCAAAGTCTTCACACACGATCAACTTCAGGTGTTCAAAAGATGAACTTGTGTCCACAGTTTGTAACCTACCTCCTTTTCCTTCATCAACAA